TCTCTGACACTCTAGAGCCCGTTGCTGAAGTCACTGTGTCAATCCATGTTGTGGAGGATTAAGGTATATTAAAATCTTGGCTTTCACATTCATCTTGGAATAATCTCAGTCTCTGAAGCACTGAATGTCACAAAATGAGAACTGAAAAGCCCAAAGGATTTCAAAGTTGGTTACCTACTTGGAGTACATTAGAATTTATGGAATGGCTCACCCAACACATGGCCTCAAAACACATTGTGCTCTTACCTGCACAGGGTGAATCCTGGTCTTGATACTTCCGACACCTTCCACTGTGGTGACAGCAGCCCCATGCAGAGAGCCAACTGGCAACAGGCAAGCTGTAGCTGGATAATGGCTGTGATGGAATTATGTAAAGAGAGCAGTACACTGAAATCATGGCAAACAGGAGACATAATTCAGAAAGCAATCTATAGACCAGGAAAATAATGATTTACTCCAAGAATACAGAGCAAACTAGACTTGAAACCATACATTTCTGGACATGCCCAAGAACAGACTTACATATGACTGGTCAGAAATGGAAAACAGTGAGTGAAAAAGACATCTATGTAGGACCCCCAAGAAACCCTCATTCTTTGTTTCCCCTAGTTTTAAGGAAACAAAACTGTGTATAAGCAGCAGATTCTCATCTGCTTGGTACTGGGCTCCAGATCTCAAATAAAAAATTAGTGCCTTTATTCCCATATAGGCTAAATTTCATTCTTTCCCCCCCTCCCCAGATGTGAGAATTTGTCCAGCTCTCAAGGACTGAGAGTATAAATGCTGTCCCAGGCTTAGAGTATAAATACTACCCAAGATGAGAGTATAGATACTGTCCTTCTGTAGAAGAGATGCTGATGTTAGGTGTCGTAGAGTTGCCTATGACTCATAGCAACTCTATGAACAACACATGTGATCCCTGTCCTATCCTGTGCCATCTTTATCATCTCTTGACACACTGGAGCTCATTGTTGCAGTTGCTATCAATCCATCTCATTGATGATATTCTTCTCTTTTGTTTACCCTCCACCATTCCAAACATGATGTCCCTTTCCAAAGTGTAGCTTCTCCTAGCAACATGCTCAAAGTATATGAGATGAAGCTTCGCCATCTTTGCCTCCAAGAAGCGCTCTGGTTGTACTTTTTCCAAGATATTTTTGTTCTTTTGGCAGTCCATGGGATGTTCTTCTCCAACATCACAATTCAGAGGCATCAATTCTTCTTTTGTCATTCTTATTCATTGTCGAATTCTTACATGTATAACAAGTGATTGATAAGATCATGGCCCAAATCAGGCACACATTAGTCTTCAGACTGACATTATTGCTCCCCAGTAATTTGGAGAGGTCGTTGTCAGAGCAATTCATCTCCAGATCTCCTGACTGCTGGTACAAATAGTTGATTATGGATTCAAGTAAGATGAAATAGTTGACAACTTTAATTTTTCCTCTATCTATTATGATGTTGCTTATTGGTCCAGTGGTGAGAACTTTTATCTTCTTGATGTTGAGGTGTAGTCCATATTGAAGGCTGTAGTCTTTGATCTTCTGCAGCAAGTGTTTCAAGTCCTCCTCACTTTGAGCAAGCAAGTTTGTGTCATCTGCAAAATGCATGTTGTCGATGAGTCTTCCTCTGATCCTAATGCCACATTCTTATTTGTAGAATACTGTTTCTTGAATGATTTATTCAGCATACAGTTTAAATAGGTATAGAGAAAGGACACAAACCTAACACACAACTTTCCTGCTTTTAAACCCTGTATTGTTCCTTTCTTCTGTTTGTACAACAACTTTTTGATACAGGTTTCATATAAGTATAGCAAAAGGTTATGATATTTCAGTTATTTTCAATATTAAGTTATATGTTGTTATGACCCACAAAAATGTCTTTGCATAGTAAATAAAACTTAAGTAAACATTCTTTTGGTATTCTCTACTTTCAGCCAGGATCTACTGACATTAGCAAAGATTAACAACATCTTCTTCATGTTCTTCAACAGTATTTTACTTGCAAGTGATATTAATGACATTATTTAATAATTTCTGTTTTATTATCTTTCTTGGGAATGGGAACAAATATGGATCTTTTCCAGTCAGTCAACAAGCAGCTGTCTTCTAAATTTCCTGGTATAGACAGATTAGCTTGTTCAAAGATGTATTTGTTAATTGAAACATGTCAATTGGTATCTCATTGATTCCTGGGGCCTTATTTTGCCAATACTTTCAGTGCATCTTGAACTACTTCTTTCATTATCATTGGTTCTTGGTCATATGGTAGTTCCTGAAATTTTTTAGTGATAACCAATTCTTTTTTGTGTATTCTTTTCTTTTCCATGTATTCCTTCCATCTTCTTATGATACTTCCTGCAATATTTAAGAGGATTCTAGAAGAAGTGATAAGAGTATTGTTTTTGGTTGCATTAGCCCTTGAACCATCTGTTTAGAAGCCACCCTGCTGACTATCTCAGATACTTGGGAAAGTAATTGCTGAGTAGAGCAAAGTAATTGTGCAACTGATAATTCCACCCCTCCTCCCCTGTCTTCCAGTTCCCTACTCCTTGGAGTTTGATTTCTCTTGATTTGATCTCCCTCTTTATTTTCTCTTGGTACTTTTTCTAGTGTTCATTGTTCTCCTCAGTCTTAACCTTATGCATCAGGGGGCATAGAGACATGGCAACTCCTCAATCTTCTGGGCAACTCATCTATGGCCATAATTAATCTCTTCACCATTCCATGAGGAATCTTCTTCTCTTGTAATCTGGATTTCATCTACTCATATCCCCACGGATTTGCCTCGTCATCAATCATCCTCCTAACTTCTTTCTTAATAGAGACTCATTTCCCTTAGATAAGAAATAAGTTAAAAATAAAAGAAGTTACAATGTTTGTCATGCTAATAAATAAACAAACAAAACCCCCCTTCATATCCCTCTCAGTTATTGGCTTATCTTTCCTTTCCATTTCTTCTCTGTTATTGTTGTTATGTGCTATCCAGTCATGTGCGACTCATATCGACCTTGTATACAACAGCTCTGAAAACTGTCTTATTCTGAGCCAGTCTCACTGACTTTGACATGCCTAATTCATTGCCCCAGTTACTGTTTCAATCCAAGTCATCTTGGGTCTTCCTCTCCTGTGCTGTCCCCGCACTGTTCCAAGCATGATGTCCTTTTCCAAGGACTGGTCCCTCCTGACTGCATGTCCAAAGGGTGAGACAGCTTCAAAATCCTTGCCTCCAAGGAGAAACTTGGTTTCACCTTCTCCAAGAGAGACCTATTTGTTCCAGATTTGTTCGTTCTCTTGGTGGTTCATGGTATGTTCAATACTCTTCTCCAGCACCACAACTCAAAGGCATCAATTCTTCTGTCATCTTTAGTCATTGCCTAGCTCTCTGATACATAGCAAGTAATTGAGAAGAATATGACCTGGATCAGGCACACTTTAGTCTCCAGACTGACATCATTGCTCCTCGGCCCTCTGGGGAGATCTCTGGCAGTAGACTTCCCCAATGTGATTTGTGTTTTGATTTCCTTACTGCTGGTGTCAAGGGTGTTGATTGTGGAGCTGAGCAAGTTGAAATGGTTCACAACCTCAATCTTTTCTCCATCTATCATGGTGCTGCCAATTGACCCAGTAGTGAGAATCTTTGTCTTCTTGATATTAAGCTTCAATTAGTATTGAAAACTATAGTCCTAGTCAAATTGTTTTCAAGAAATGGCCCACAACTTTCTACTAGCACTTACCGGCCTTTCTCCCACTCCTAGTGCCTTTCAGCCCCTCTTTCTGATGACACAGCTCTGGGAGCAATCTAATAACATGTATTGTTGATCACTTTTACCTTCTTGGGATTTCTGCTCTCTGCACTTTCTCCTCTCAGTTTGGCTTCTCCATATTCTGTTTCCAGGGCACTTTTTTGGCCCCTTTATCTTTCTCTTGTTATTCCAATGTACTACCCTAGGCTCTGGGTGGGTTAGTGATATGGAGTTGTTGCCAACCCAGAGTTACACGTTTTGAATCCACCAGCAGCTCTGCAGGAGGAAGATGGGCAGTCTCCTCCTGTGCAATTTACTGCTTCTGAAATTCTGCTGGCGGGTCAGCGAAGAGTCAGTTCTGACTCGGTGGTACACAGCAGCAGCTCTGCAGCTCTGGTGTCATAGTGTTCTCCTGTGGTTTCTGCTACCTTCCAGACCACCTGGGAGGAAATTCTGATTTTATCACTGCCCACAAGACCTTGAACAAGGTTCTTCACCTTTGTTGCCTCAACTTTTCCTTCTTTTAAGTGGTGGTGATGGTAATGCCTTCCTACATTTGTTTTGAAAACCAAATCCAACGTTCTGTCCAAATTCCTTTGAACAGTATCTGGCACACAATAAATGTCCAAGAAAGGTTAGTTATTTTGACTATCATTGATTTTATTATCTACATTTATAATGTCTGCTACATTATAGCTTCAGATGAGATCTCATTTCTGAGTGACTACTTGGCCTTCACTCAGACCTCTGGATCAAGATGCTGGTTGGACAGTTCCTCTTAGATGTCTCATAGTTGTTCCAAATGTCATACACATAAAGATAAACTTATTTGTTCTGAGACACTGGCACCCAATCCACTTTCAAAATTTTCCTACTCAAAAGCAAAGACACTGTTTGTGCAGGAGTAAAGATCAGGGCCCTAAGAACCTGGCATGTGGGTAGGTCTATTTAGATGAGAAGAAAGTCTGTGAGAAAGATCTGGAGATAAGGAAGCTGGAGGAAAGCGGACCATATGAATGATTGAGATATGAGATAAGGAAGGAAGGAACATATATTGCTAAGAAAAGCCCTAGATGACACATCCTTCCCAGATAGGCCCAGAGCAGCGCCATAGCCCAACACGAAGGATACTGGATCTTCTTGGTCTTGGGGTCGTATCTTGACACCATCACTGTGCAGGCTCCACAGGCCCCACTTCCACAAGCATATTTTGTGCCGGTGAGGTGGTCTTAAAGGAAGTAAGTTAAGGAAAAGAGGAGCCCAAACCCCTTTTTCTTTTTCTCTCTCTGATATTAAAAACTAGTAATGAGTTTGTTATGATCAAGCCTGTCAAGATTTCTTACTTCGAGAAATTCTTCAGATAATGGTAAGAAAACCATACAGCCTATACTCTCATATCCCTGAAACCTAGATGCAGTTCTGAATTTAAATTTTTTTGTTTGTTTTATTAAGGTAATCACACAGCACTCACAACGAAGTCTAAGGTGGTGATGTGTTGCTGTTACGTGCCATTGGGTCATGAAGCAACTCATAGTTGACCTTCTATAGGGTTTTCAGAGTCTGTAAATAGCACAATAGGAGATTGCACATCTGGTGGATTTGAACTATCTGCCTTTGGGTTGACAGTACAAGTCCTTACTACTAAGTCACCAGAGCTCCTCTAGGAGTCTGGGGTAGCAATTTGCAATAAAACAGTAATGTTTTTCCAGTGAACCATATAGACAGACATGCAAAATCTGTGACATGAAATTACAAAGAACTTCATATCAGCTAAGTCATGGATTGACTCCAAATGAGTTATGGAAAAGAGGGTTGAATTTCAGAATTGTACCATGTAGCATGTTCATGGTATATATGGTAAATGTGCATAACTTAAAAAAACTTCCCTGAGAAGTTTAGCAGTGTTACGCTTTTACCATTGTATAGGTTGTGTTCCCGTTGAGTTGGAACTGTCCCACAGCTGCAGTAAATCACATAGAGAAGGTTGCCCATCTGGTGGATTTGAACAATATACCTTTGCTTTGGCAGAGCTTGGTAAGAAGTTGCACTGCAATCCCAAAGGCATGTAGTTCGAATCCAGCTGTTCTGCTGGAGATGGATGGACCCGATCTTCTCACATGACTTCCTGCCTCTAAAACTGGCTGTAGTGTCAGCTATGCATCAGTTCTGATTTGATGGCACACAGTAACAACAACAAGAGGGCCCCCTGTTTATCTTTCCTCCAGGGAGCAGCTACTAGATTCAAATCACATGTCATTAGCTTGACTGCACATTGTCCCTGAGTGAAAATTTAAAAATTAATTTGACCAGCTATTTGCTCTGGACATGGAACATTTGATCCCAGTAACCCTTACCAGAAGTACTTGATTCAGTTATATCCATAATCTGAAGACTCATGCAAAAATATGTTATCAAATAAAATTGCCAGGCAACATATTATATAACTAGTTAAACTTAAATTTCAAATAAACAAAGTCAATGTTTTAGCATAATAAGTTTTGTGTGTTCAGATTAATATGAAACTGTATATTTATTTGCTAAATCTGGAAACCATATCTGTCAAGTATGAACAATACTTTGGAAGTTTGTTTGGTTCACTATAAATGAAGAACTTTCTAGGCAACTGAAATATGTGTAGGGGTACCTAAAAGAAACTACCTTGAGACTGAATGGGGAAGTCATAGTGTGCATTTGAACACGGGGACTTGGTCATTCCTCAATGTGTGAATGATTATGTCCCTTCTCCAGGGGTCAATCCTGGGAATGTCACTTTGGGGTCTAGTCCTGTGCTTCAAGAATCTCAAGGATCTTTTCTCTTCCTCTCTTGCTCCGTTTCCCCATTCCTACTCCCAGCCTTTTGCCCCGATCAGATGAAACGTCTTTCAGTCTTCAGAAGTACTGTATTCTCTTGCCTGTGTTCCCTTGTACTGATTCATTACCTTTGCCCACAAGCCTTCCATCTGACTGGCAAAACTCCCACTCCACCCTAATCTCTTAAGTGCCCATCCCTTATGTCTTAACAATGTGGAACACTTCACAATGGCTGTATGTACCTGTTCACTGGCAATTTTCTTCACTAGAATGAGGACAGAGGCTAAGTCTGTGTGGCTAAATTGTGAACCTCTGGGTGCTTGCTAGAATTTGTTGGTAGAATGAAGTCTGCATTGCTTTGAGATCTTTAGGAAGTTCCAGGGCTGCAGGGAGGGATATGTGTAGGGAACAAGGGGAGCAAAGGCAAGTGTTTAGGGTTATTTCTGAGACATCTCATTTCACCAGTTTTGTCCTTGAGCCAGGATCCCACAAGGATTATGCAGCTCTAAATGAACCACTCCCTGCTTTTACCCCATTAACTCTTGGTGCTGCATTATCTGGTTCTGCAGATCAGATTGCTTAAAACCAGCCTCAGAGATGTTGAAGGAGAAGTTCTAGGTGACTGCACCCTGGCAAGTCTGGGCAAGGCTGCTGAGTTAGGTGGGGTGACACAGTAGTAAACTGTGGGCCTCTGAAGGGTCCAGTAACCTTGGGGAGGGGATGAGTAGAATGATAGAAGACAGAGGGGAATGCATGCCTCCAAGACTAAGTTTGCTCTTTCTGTGACTATATTCCTCCTTTGACACATATGTCAGGCACAAAATCAGGAGCAAATTGAGATTTTGTGGAAGTCTGAAATTTTTATAAGTTTGGGTATCCATTTTAATGGAAAAGATGTAAAAGTATGAATATATACTTAGGTAAAGGGCTTTGGAAGGAAACCTGGGGAAGTAAAGTAGATCAATATTGGTGTGGCTGTGTTGTGTGATAACTTCGGCAGGAAATCCATAGTTTTCCATAAATATTCATTCCTTTTTAGCTATTCCTCAGAATCACCTTCATGAGGAACAGGCGGGCCTACCCCAGACTAGGGCCTGGAAATTTTAGGCAAGTCTGTGAACCCCAAATTGGTAATTTATAACATGGCTGTCAAGTTGATGTCAACTCACAATGATGTCATATGACAGAGTAGTGCTGCCCCGTAAGGTTCCCTAGGCTGTAATATTTATGGAGACAGATTGCAGATCCACTGAGTAGATTCAAACTGCCAGCCTTTTGGGTAGCAGTCAATTGCTTAATTTTTGTTCCACCAGGGGTCTTTATTTCTGACACCAGAAAAGAATATACTGAATGGACACAAGGGAAAATTGGAGACTGGATGGTTTTGCCTAAGGTTGATTCTGACATTCTTACTTGCATGTCTGAGGAATTTCCTCTTAAAACTTAATGTAGACTAATTTCCTCATTTAAGATATAGGTAGAAAACATGGCAAAATGTCTTGTGGATTTAGAGTAATGCAGTAAATTACTTGATGTAGCTCTTTTAGCCATAATCTTTGTAACTCCATCAAATGACTGGATTGTTTTGTGCCTTCGAGTCAAGTATGACTCATAGTGATCCTATGAACAGCAGATCTGAACCCTGTCTGTCCTATCCTGTGCCACCTTCACAATCTCTGACTACTCTGACATAGCTCATTGCTGCTGTCACTGTGTCAATCCATCTGGTTGAAGGTCTTTCTCTCTTTCACTATCCCTCCACTTTTCCAAGCATGATGTCTCTCTCTAAGGAATAACCGCTTCTAGCAATATGCCCAGAGTATGTGAAATTAAACTTTATCCTCCTTGCCTCCAAGAAGTAACTCTGGATGCACCTTCTCCAAGACGTTTGTTCTTTTGGCAGTTCATGGGGTGGATATTCAGATAACTGAGTGGGTCTATGCATATATGAAAGTGTTTGTGGCCCAAAAAAGGAGTTAGATAGCTTATTAATCATGGAAATAAGATACAAGGCACCCATGTGAGGTGAGATCATCCAAATAGGCCGTTTAGAAAGCAAATGTGGGCATTGATCAGTTTTGCCATCTCAGAAGAGGAAAAGAGGAATTTCACTGCAATCAAAGAAAAAAGAGTTAGAAGTTGAACACACCCTTAGGATCTGAGTTCTCTGCCCTGAAACTTCTTGACCTAGGAAACAAAGCTAACAGATAACCCTTGTGACATGGTAGGTAGAGGTGAATGGTGAGGAGCTGAGGCAGTCGAACTGAGAGGCTGACATGGAACAGAAATGGAATTTGGAGTCTGAAAAAGAGCAAGAAAGTGGAATACCTCTTTGACTGAAAGCTTGTTCAGAAAGCTGGATGCCTCAGGGCATTTGTTGGGGTGTTAGGCTTGCTGACCCATTGAGAGAGAGTGGAGTGCCTTCAGGCCTAGGCTTACAGGCAGAGTGGGCTGCTTTGGGGACATTTATACTGAGGAGAGCTAAAAGCACTTTGTAACACTTGCCTAAGGAGGGCAGAGGCCAAGGAACTAGGCTAGGGCCAGAGAGAGGCCTGCCGTCAGGCAGAGCAGAAAAGAGTTTTCCCCAATGGAAGAAATGTATCCTGAGTTGTTCTTGATTCTGAAATATAACCTGTTTATCCCTCTATAAAATCTTGTAATTTTGAGTAGTATGTGTGAGATCTGTGTGACCATTGCAATGAATTACCAAACCAATAGAAAAGTAGTGAGTGATATGGGAGGAGTAGTACATCAGGATTGAGGGAAAACTAGAGCTTGGGGGAATGTGAGATCTCTGCTTCACTGGAATCAGGATCGGGTTATTTCAATTGTTCCTGATTCTCTCCCCTCAAGAAGTTAGACGAAGACAGACAATGCTGCCCTCATGCCCATATAATTGTTACAGAAAGTAAAGGATTATCTAACTTATGGTAAAAATTTCAAGCTAGGTAAATAAGTGACATTAAGGTATCAGTTGTGTAGCTGTCTTTTATAGCTATAAATCCAGTGCCTGGAATAGACTCTTTGGGAGGCAAAGGTGGTGGTGGTCGTGGTAGTTGTGTACCATTTAGTTGGAACCATAGCTGACCCTATAGCAGGGTATCAGAGTTAGTAATCACATGGGAGGGAGCTCTGGTGGCCTAGTGGCGAGAGGCTGTGCTGCAATACTGAAGGCACACAGTTCGAGGACACCACCAGCTTCTCTGTGGGAAAAGGGTGGACACTCTCCTCCCGTGTGATTAACTGTCTCTAAAAACCTGCCGGAGGATCAGTTCTGACTCTACGGTACAAAACAACAGTCTCCTGGGAGAAGATTACCCATTCTTCTCCCATGGAGCAGCTGGCAGATTCTATCCATGTGCCTTTGGGATTGCAGCATAGATTCTTACCACTAGGCCACCGGAGCTCTCTGCAAAAGTGCTGAAATTCTTTTAGGAGTAGGGAGTGGACAAAGGCTAAGAACAGAGTTCATGTGTCCATTAGCTATACTTTGGAATGCTGGAATAAATATCTTCTTTCATTAGGATGCCAATGTGGCTACCTGGGGTTGGTGATATGAATTCCTGATCATTTGCTTGGACAAAAGTTGTCCAGACACTTCTATTTTAACTTTCTTGATTATAAAATTGTTCTTAGTGTTCCTGAAAATCACAGGGTTTTTAACTAATTTTTCTTTTATGATTCTTGTTTTACTTTACTAAGGAAAAAAATACTAGAAATAAAGGGAGAATAAAAAACCCTTTATCAATTTAAAAATCATTCTCTAAAATATAATTAGACTCTGCAAACATTGTACAATGTCATTTACCTAGACAAAACAAAGAATGACTTTCTTGACAAATCTTTAGCATGTTTGCTTTTTACCATTCAATTTAGATCAACTGCAATAAAAGAGAAGGATACGGAATGTCCTCACGTAGTGCAGTAGAGGTGTTTCAGGATCAGCATTCTCCTCTGTTACCTACATGGTGAAATTAGAGAAGCGGTTTTAGGAAGACTGGATCAACAAATGATATAGAAATCCTATCCATTATTTTGGGAACATGCTTTTGATAGATGCTTGTGCAATTTTTCCCCTTCAGCTTCACAAGGAGAAATATGGCACAGAAAACATTTGTAACACTTGGGACTGGGACTAGAATTCTTAATAAATCATATAGCATAATTTCAATGTCTCTGAAATTTATATATATTATATATTTATTTACATATAATATATTTATGTATATATTATATAGTACACACACATATATGTATATATATGTGTGTATGTATATGCGTATATATATATTAGATTCTGAATTATTTTTCCTCAGGCTTACCTGGAAAGAACTCTGATAGTAAAACAGATATATAAATTCTCAAACTAATTCATCTAACTATGGCCACAGTCATTCATAAAAAAACTCAGGCAAGGGAGCTCTGGTGGCCTAGTGGCAAGACGCTGCACTGCAATCCCAGAGGTATGCGGTTCAAATCCACCACCAGATGCTCTGCTGGAGAAGGAGGGGGCAATCTCCTCCTGTACCAGTCAGATCTGATTTGATGGTACACGTAAAAATAATACAATAAAAAAAAAACAAACACAACAACTCAGGCAGCTATTTCCTAAAGCATTTGTTCATTTCTCCACCTTTGCCACTCAGTATATCACAAGAGAGCTGCCACAAGAGAACTGTTCATGTTTTCTCTCCAGTAAACTGGAGGTGCAGATGAAGGAAAGGTAGGAGGGGATTGAATATTGGCACTGCTGGTCCAGTTGTGTTCCAGACTGCTGGTGCTGATAGTTCAAATCTAGTACATGAAATGAAAGCTATCTACCTTATTTGGCCCTGGAGTTGCCCATGTAGTTTTGAGTACAATCCAGCAACATTAGAGAGAGTCAAAGAGAAATATATCTAAAAGAGTAGCAACTGATTCCAGAAAAAGATATTCCAACTGAAAGGAAGAATAACTGGAATGAGAAAAACAATGAAAGAAAATACCAACACATTTTATCAGACAGAAGACAAGAAAGGAGAGAACAACAACAACAACCCTCCTTATAATAAACCAACAAAACGCAAAAGCATGTGATACTAGAGGACAGAGAAAGCTGAAGACACACAAACAATAAATTAAAAAATGGCAGAAATAACTTCTATTAATAATTATAATGAATCTAAATGCTCCAATCAAAAGACAGAATGGGTAGTTAAAAACCATGATACAATTATATTTACAAGAGATAAACCTTAACCCTCCCAAACACAAATAGATTGAAAGTGAAAGGTTGGAAGAAAAGATTCTATGCAGATAACAACAACAGCAAACCGTGGTAGCAATCTTACTATGAGACAAAGGAGACTTTAGTATAATATTTGTCTGAAGAGATAAAAATATTATGTAGTTACACCAATGTTCATAGCAGCACTATTCACCATCACAAGAACACAGCAACAGCCCAAATATCTAACCACAAATGAATGGATTGAGAAATTATGGTACATTTACACAGTGGAATACTATGCGGCACACAGGAGCAATAACTTTGTAAATTATTACCTAACCTGGGAGGGACTGGAGAGCTTTATGTTGAATGAACTGACTCAGTCCCACAAGGAGAAATATTGTCTAAAACTGTTATTGTAGAATGAGTATAAACATCCAGGAGGGGTGGGAGAGGCTGAAAGCAGAGGGATGTGGATGTACAGAGGCAAGAGGGAATCATTGGGTTGTACATGTGATGGGGTGGGGAGGGTGTGAAGGAAATGGAAAGAATTTGTTCAAATTTGTATTAGAATTTTATAAATAAACTAATGAAAAGAAAAAAGTTAACTTGGGGAAGGGGAAGTGGAAGAGAGGGAGAAGGGGGTAAAATGTGCAACAATGAATGAATGAAAATCTAACTTTTTTGCACACTTTTGTTAAAATGACAATTAAAATAAAAAATTTTATTTGAAAAAATATTATGTAGTGATAAAAGTAAATTAAGTGAACGAAACATTTAAAAAGATGATAAGCAAGGAGAAGAGGACCTAAATGACATTACAAACCAGGTAATCTTAACAGACACGTATAGAAAACAACAGTAATAGTATTGCGTTTGAAAGTATAAGTTTCAGAGCAAATCTTGGTAAATTTAAAAAGATAAATCACACAAATTACTTTTTCTGACCAAAATGAAATGAAGCTAGGCATAAATAACAAAAAAGATCCCTGTAGAAGAAATAAATATGTGGAAATTATGCAACATACTATAAACCTATAGTACAAAGAAGAAATAAAAAGGAAAACATCTATCAACCAATATATTACTAATTTATTCTTCTTAATAGCTGCATAATATTTTGTAGTATGGATATACTATATCTAGAAAACCATTCTCCTTTCCATAAAACATTTCATGACTTTTATAAATTCTAAAAATAAGAAAAAATAGCATTGTATACAGATTATTATGTTCTAGTGATTTTATTTATTTATTTTTAAGATTCTCTGGAAAGGATTGCTGGCAGGAAGAGAATATGAATTTAAATTTAATGTCTTTGCTATACTGCTTCTCCATAATTCTATAACATTTCTCATTCTATCCATTCTTTATAAGACTATTCATTTCCTACAATCCTACCAACAATAACTATTACAGATCTTCTCAATTTTAACCAACATGGTAGGTATAAAATGATCTCTTATTATCAGTTTAATTTGCATTCTCCTCACTTTTGATAAATAGGAGAATCTTACCGAGTTAACTGGTGATTTAGATTTGCTTTTTTGTGTATTGACCATTCATATAATTTTCTCATTTTTATATTAACTTGGTCTTTCTCATGTAAAATGATAAAGAACCTTTGTTATAAAAATTTAGTCTCTTTTTTTACTTGGATCCACAGTCAACACCCTTGGTACCAGCAGTCAGGAGATCAAGAGATGTAGAACATTGGGAAATTCTGCTATCAGACCTCTCCAAAGTTCTAAAGAGTAATGACGTTAGTTTAAAGATTAAAGTGTGCCTGATTCAAGCCATGATTTTTTTTTCAATTACCTACTATAAATCTGAAAAGGCATGGAGATGGGATGCATTTTTGGTGTACATCTTTCCTGATTTTGAACCATGCAGTGTTTCTTGCTTTGTCCTGATGATTGCCTCCTGGTCCAAGTATAGGTTTCAAGTAAGCACAATCAAGTGTTCTGGGATTCCCATTCTTCTTAGAGTCAGCCATAGTTTGTTATGATCCACACAGTCAAATGCCTTTGCATAGTCAATGAAACACAGATAGACATTCCTCTGGTATTCCCTGCTTTCAGCCAAGATCCACCTAGAATTAGCTATAATATCCCTGGTACTATGGCCTTTTTTTTTTTTTTAATTCTACTAGTTTATTTACAAAATTTGAATACATTGTTTTCAAGAACAAATTCTTTCAATTTCCCTCATCCCCCCCTCATCAAATTGTACAACCCCATGACTAATCCCCTCTCCCACTGCACATCCTCATCCCTCTGCTTCCATCCTCTCCCACCCCTCTTGGATCCTTATACTCATTCTACAATAATGATTTTATAAAATATTTATCTTTGTGGGACTGAGTTAGTTTTCTCAGCACAACTTTCTCCAGTTCCTCCCAAGTTAAGTAATAATTCATAAAATCATTGCTCCAGCGTACTGCATAGTATTTCATTGTGTGAATGTACCATAATTTCTCAATCCATTTGTTTTTGACTGGACATTTGGACTGTTTCCATGTTCTTGCGATGGTGAATAATGCTATGAACATTGTGTACAAATCTCCATTTGTACCTCAGATGACCTTTTCAATATATATGTGGAACAGATCATCAGAGGAATGTGGCATCAGGATTGGGGGAAGACTGATCAACAACCTACATTATGAAGAGGACACAATCTTGTACGCCAAAACTGAGGATGACCTGAGACATTTGTTGCAGAAGATCAACGATTGCAGCCTTCGATATGAATTGAAGCTCAACATCAAGAAAACAAAGATTCTCACCACTGGGTTAATTGGCAGCATTGTGATAGATGACGAAGAGATTGAGATTATTAACAACTTCAGTTTGTTTGGTTCCACTATCAATACTCTTGGTACCAGCAGGCAGGCAATTAAAAGAATTGCATTGGGAAAATCTGCTGTCAGGGACCTCTCCAGAGTAGTGAAGACCAATGATGTCAGTCTGGAGACCAAGGTGCACCTGATCTGGGCTATGGTCTTTGCAATCACTTGATACGCATCAGAAAGCTGGACAATGAGTAGGGAGGATGGAAGGAGAATTGATGCCTTCAAGGTGAGGTGTTGGAGATGAGTACTGCTAAGAGAACAAACAAGTTCATCCTAGAGATGGTGAAATTTGGAGGCTGCTCCTTGGAGGCAAGGATTCCGAAGCTTCACCTGATATACTTTGGACATGTTGCAAGGAGGGAAGGAGAGGGATATAATGCTTGAGAGGGTGGAGGGACTGCACAGGAGAGGAAGACCCTCAAGTAGATGGATTGATTCAGTGACTGGAGTAATGAGGGTAGGTGTGTCGGAGACAGTGAGACTGACTCAGAACAGGGAAGGGTTCAGGGCTGCTGTACATAGGGTCATTATACATCACAGGAGACTCAACAGCAAATAACAACAACAACAGCAACATACTATATTGGGGTTTTTGTTTTGCTTTGTTTTGTTTTTAATTTAATCCTCTTGTTTAGAGTCAACAAGACCTCAGGGAGGGCCTTTGTATTTAAAGTTAGTTGTTTTTATATTTTGGAGGAACATTCTTCTAGTGGTATGTACAGCACTCTTATGTCAATATGCTGTACTGAGGTAAACTGGAGTTACTGTGATGCTGAACCTTGTGCCATTGGGGTGTCAAATGCCATATCAGTTACCCATGGTGAACAATGTTTGGTGGAGCTCCCAGTTTAAGAGAGGTTTGGAAGCATCCAACTTCCTGAATAACATGCCTCTGAAA